TACTTCTTTCAACAATAATTCGGAAGTATTATGTAATATAAATGTAAACGAGAAAAAAAAGAGTTGACCGTGTCAACTCTGTGATACCGTACCGTACGATTTTGTTATCCTATGTGCGAATAAATATGTCATACCTGACTATGGAACAGACTATCAATTTGAGTTGCCATGTTAGCATATTAATATATGCAAAATTTTAGTACTCTGGCACTGGTACAGTATTTTCTTAGATATGGCCAAACTACTGTTGAAGTTGTATGACAACTACCAGAAGGACCAAGCACTTTCAACGGCTTTTATCAAACACATTGGCCCTGCTAATATATTCGCTCGTGTGAAATTTCAATACCAGAACTTTCATAGTTTTAAAGATATAGACAAATAAATTTTGAAATTATATGGCAGCTACCCGAACCAGTACTCCGATCATGTCCAATTTAAATAGGGTTCTGGCACTTACTACAATAAATCATTTGTGAAAATTTGGGGAAATTAGCTCAATTAGTTTTTGAGCTATCGCTGGGACGGTCGGACGGACGGACGGATAGCCAAAGCTAAATCGACTCAGAACTCGATGCTGATCAAAAACATACACTTGAGTCTATATCTCAGATCGTTATTTCTTAGCGTTACAAACGATAAGGCAAATTTAGTATGATGTTCATATTGTGCACAAAAATTGATTCCATATGAAACTTTTGCGTATTATATTCTATACCCTGTGAAATAAAATTAAAATATTTAAATTTTATTTAATAGTAGTACTGTTCACACAATATCATAATCAATTCTAGCAATTTTTGTTATAGAAGATTTTCATACCCATACGAAGAATCTGTTAAGGATATTACTATAAATTTACCAACCCGTTTATAACGCTAGGAAATATACGTTTAAGACATAGATATAAGCTTGTGTTCTTTTGTTTGTAATCAGCATGGAATTCTTCATCAATTTTGATATTTATCTATCAGCCTTGTTGCCCATCCCAGCGGCAATTCAAAAATACATTAAGTCAGATTAACAAAACTTTCACAAATAGGTTATAAAGCAATCGTACAAATACTTTTAAATTCGGGGTCGATTGAAATATTGGTAAAATAAGTAGATATTATACAATAGTTTCAAAATAATGTTCAACACTATTACATGGAAGCTGTAAACCATAGAGTTACTCATATAGATAAAAAAATTCATGAAATCGGAAGCTATAGAGCCTGCCGTCATCAAATTCAATATAAAAATTTTAAGTAACCAGGGTCATTAGTGTCATTTGTCTCAGGGATACTGTAAAGATTTCAATATTGGAATTTTTTTTAAAAGTAAGTTTTCTAGTAGTCGATAATTGCGGAAGTATTTACTATAGTTAATCAATAACTTTTGAAATTTAAAATTTACTAATATACCTTAAAAATTTTAAAGGCTAAAACAAGTTTAATGCCCAGACTATAGAGTAGATATGATCAACTTCATCTCTTCTCGTGTATTCTGTATAGTTACGTTACAAACAATTATAGTTCATTCTCAAAAAAAAAGACATGAAATAAAAAGTAATGAGTGTAAATCCTAAAATGTATCTAAATTGCAAAAAAAGTATCTTATAAAATTACAAAAAAAATTTTAGAATAAATGAACTGAATTTAGTACATATTTTTACTATACATAAAAAATATTAACCATAACACAGGTTCTCGTTCAAACAAAGTCCATATTTTGCCAACAAAAGAAAAAGAACCATAACAAAATAATAACCTCAAAAAAAAAATAAAGAGAATTCTAATTGAAAGGACCAACATGCTATACTCTGTGTTCTTCCATATTTTATACATACATATACAAATAATATTTATATTATTTTGTAGAATTCACAAAAGGAAGGACATTACATATAAATTCAAACAGTATAAATTTTAAAGGACTAAAATATATTATTATTATTTAAGTATTATACTGTATAATAATATTTAATACTATCGTATATAGTGAGAATTATACTATACTCACGAATATTATAAATGTATTTATAATAATATTACAATGTATAAAGCAAAGGATGAATATAGCAATAATATTATAATAAGAACAGAATAGAAACGGAAGTCAAGAATAATGGCTATACGAATTTTCTAATTGAAAATAGACTTAAGTGCTTATCAATGACAGTTTGAAAAAGGATATTCTTTTTTTCCTCTTTTTCTTTTTTCTTATATATACTCGTATAACACTATAGTAACAGTAGTTATACTGTATATCTTTTTCCTTTAAATATACTACAAAAAAAAATATATGTACGAACACATACCCGAAAAAAAAAAAATATTTCAAAGAAGAGAAAATTAAAATTTTTCGAAAAGAATATAGAAAATCTAAGACAAAAAGCTCAACAAGATACTAGCTCTCCGTATATAAAATAAAATTTATAACATTTTGAAGTGGCAAAATTTTCAAAAACACAAAAAAAAAAATGTCGTTTAATAAATTTAAGTAACCGAATATAATTCTTTATTTTATATAACTGTTATACTATATATATATATATATATATATATATATTATATTTAGATTTTATTGCTAAATTCAAGAAAGTAAAAAAAAAGAAAACTGAAAGAGGCGCCATACCATTAGAAAAAATATTGTGTGATTTTGAATTTGTAATTAAACATAATAATTTCTACGAAAATCAAAATTTGCTAATTGGGGAGGAATTGGCGAGAGTTCATTCAAAAATTGGCTAATAATAAAAGAGTTGTAATAATAATAAAATGCTCAAGGAAGATTTTTTTCTAAAACATAGCACTGTTTCCCTTAAAAAGTACTTAAATAGGTTCTGCACACGGAATACGTACTTATGTGTTATACAAAACAAAATTTTCGGGTCATATTATGAAGGCATGAAAATTTTTTAAGAAATAATATAACTTAAATGAACAGAATCTTCGAAGACTAGTTTCACGGAAAGATCATAAATTGAATAATCACAATAATGGCTGTAACAACATTGTTGAAAATGCAACCTTTATTGGGAGTTTTTTAACCTTTATGGGGAGTTTAATGATCCATTCATTTAAAAATCGTATTCCGAATTTTCTCGTGTTCGTTTTTATCTTGAATAACCCATCGCAAGCGTAGTCACCATATTACATTGCTCATATTATTAAGAATGAGCCAGTTTAAAAAATTAAAATTTGCACTGAACGCCTACCTTACCGTAATCCCATTATCTTTCTTTCCTGTAAGAAACGCCTCAAATTAAGAACTTTTACAACTATTGATAAAACATGTTAAACCTATAACATTTCACACTAATGAAATAACAAAATCTGGTTCACATTATTTCACTCTGTATACATAATATATAAAAAAAAATTTAAATACTATGGTAACTTTAAAATTTTTGGTCACCAAAACATTGATTTTCGATATGAAAAAGCATATATACATATTGTTACATAAATTAAATAAGAAAAAACATATACAATGTGGTACAACATAATAAAATCATATTATAAAAGTTAAAAAGAATTGAATTTCAAATTTAATTTTATTATATTTTATTTTATATATATGTTATATATATATAACTAATATATATTATATATATAATATGTTATATATATATAACTAATATTATATATATAACAATTATATAAATATTAATTTATAAAATATTTGCATATATACGTTACATATATTTATGATATATATGGTATATATCTATATATATGGTATATATAGTATATATGGCATATATAGTATATATAGTATATATAACTATATATACTAAATATAGAAGAAAATTCTTAATGATATTAGGAACAAAAGGAACTTTTCTTCCTTTTTAACAATCTAACAATAAAAATAATGTATTCATTACCATTAAATGAAATGAATTGAAATAAACGAATAAATTAATTTCTATATACATAATACAATGTTAAAAATATGCATATATATATTGTATAATTAGTTGTATATTATGTACATAATAATATGTTATATAATGTCTATGAATATTCATATAATTATAAATTATTCCCTATATATATTTTTGTACAACACTACAATATAATATTGTATAATAGTTTAAATGAAATGGTAGGTGTTTTAAATTGATTGTTAATAAGGTATATAATAAAAGAGAGAAAAAAAATTATGTGAATAAAATTATACATGCATTACCTTCTATATACTATTTTCTATATATTTGTATAAAATTTTTGAATGGCACATAATTGATTATGGTATAATAGAGAATTTAATCTTAGTATAACCTCATTGTTATTATTAAAGTATAATTTAAATTTTATATTATCTTGTTGCTAGATAATTTATTTTTCAATTATTTTAAGCTATTATATCCCATTTTTTTTTATTAAAGATATTTTAAAATAATCTAAATTATTTATAATATTAATTTGATTTTAAAAATATTGTCTCTTGATTAAGTCAAATGTAAATTTTTAAATTTATAACACCAAATAATACAAAAAGTAAAAAATGTAAGGGATATTATATACAATATTGGTGTTAGATAAAAATTAGAATTAAAATTAAATTAAAATTTTAAAATAATTTTAATTCTTTTTAGAATACAAAGGCATGAAAATTTTTTAAGAAATTTAAAACAGAAATGTTCAAATTCTACTAAGTAATTGAATAGAAATTGAACCATAAACTTTGTTTTAATTGAACAGAGTATAATAGAAAGTTTAGATTGGGGGATTTGCTACGTTATGGTTTGTTCTTGGAGAAATTTGGTTTTTTAGCTTATAATGAATAATTTAATGAATGTCTGGGCAGTATTTAAAGATTAAAAACGCAATGTTGTAAAGATCAGATTACAGAAAGTTTAACACATAATGTTATTGAAATGGGACAGTTTAGTTTGTACCTATAATTAATTTCGAAATTATGTTGAAACAATTGAAAAATTTTCTGGTAAAATTCTATACAATTATTATACGAATGAACATATTAATTCATCATCATCATCAGTAGCTTTACAGCCCGGTATGAGCCCTAGCTGGATTAACAATTCTTCTCCACCCTTCTCGATCCGTTGTTAGTTGCTGCCAGTTTGTTATATTCATTTTACGCCAATCTTCTGCTACGTCGTCCTTCCATCTCGACCTTGGTCTTCCAATGTTTCTTTGAAAAAGTGGTCTTGCTTCGAAAATTCTTTTTGGAGCCCTTGATTCATCCATTCGATTGAGATGTCTTAGCCACCTTAATCTTTGAGATTTGATGAATCTTACTATATCCTCATTTTTTATAAGGTTCATTAGTTCTTGATTTGACCTTATTTCATGCTCATTATATTCGTTCAATCTTGGTCCAAAAATTTTCCGCAGTATCTTTCTTTCAAAGGTTTTCAGATTATTTATATCATATTGCGTTAATGACCACGTTTCAGCATTGTAGCTTAAAATAGGACGTAATGTTGTTTTATATAGTTGTGTTTTGCACGATTTTGATAGAATTTTGGATTTAAATAAATGTGCTATGGATTAGTAAGCCCGGTTAGCTGTTAATATCTTTTGTTTTATGTCTTTGTGTATGTCATTACTAGCATTTATTTGCGCACCAAGGTATTTAAAATTTTCAACTATTTCAAAATTGTATCCCATCATGCTTATAGTTTGGTCACTTCTTCGTAGTTGGGATCTTGATATCAACATATATTTGGTTTTTTTTTCATTAATCTTCAAACCCACAATTGCAGCGTTTTCGGCAAGTTCGGCAAAAGCTTCAATTAGATGTCTTTTATTTCTGGACATCAACATCTGGAACATATTTATTGCCATCAAATATCAACAGCTTGTGTTCTAACATTAAGACAATGGGATGCACTAAATATCATTTTATCTTCAGTTCTAATTTTAAATTTCAAAGTTTTTTATCAGAGACGGAAATGGAAAGCTGATGGTTCCGTCCGGAGTGGAGCTTCAAATCCTTTCATTGGGCCGCAGTCACGTTTTGAGATGCTAAGAACAACAGATCTGCCTGCTCTGAATTTTTGGGATGAACAAGCCCTGATCGATCATTGAGACAATTTCCAGAACTTATCTAATTTTAAAAAAATTATATATCACTTAAGACCATGGGGGCGGGAATTGATCGTCTAGATTTGAGGCTACTGGTGGCCGAAATCAGTGGACACTGCCTCTCGATTACGAAAAGGATGGAAAAGGCAGAAAATTAAGTTTACTGTTTCTGCTCGGAAGAAAAGGAAACGGGGGAGCACTTATTAGGTGTATGCAAGGCGGTGGCTCGCTTACAACTCAAATACTTCGAAAGGAGCTTTGTGAGTTTAATAGAGATCTCTCGGCTTAAGATGGCTGCTGTACTACAATTGTTCAGGGGCATTGAAATAATATGAAATTTAGATGGATTTTGAATTTAGCAGTGACGTAACATTACTTTACGTGGTATAAGTCAATTTATTATCATATAAGGTAAAAAAAAATATTTCTAAATTCATCATAAGTATCAAGTAACATTCTGATCAATATCGTTTAACTTTTCCATCATAATCACATATTTTCTATTAAATAAAAAAAAAAATAATCTCAGAGATTGTAAAGTAAACTAAAATATTTAATTTAACTATATTCAAAGAAAACTTGAAAATTGATTTTGATTAAAATAAAATTGTTTTTTTTTTTTTCTTCCTGCTTCCCTTTCTCTGTAAGATGAGTTTCTTTCTTTTTTTTTTTCAAAAATCCGTTTATAAAAAGACGATTAATGAAAATTGTAGCAATATTTTCACGTCATTTATAAAAAAAAAAAAATTTGCAATTTCAGTATTATATACGAGCTTTATATGCATGAGTTTGACTATAAAATATGCAAATATTATTATTTGTGTTCTTGTATAACACACAGACACACAGTATGTAAAATAAATAAAATAAATATAATATTGTATAAGTACGTTATGTTTACCGTGTCCTTTTTTTTTTTTGAGATTTTTTTTTTCAGATGGTAAACTCTATACAATATACTTTTTTGAACAGTATTTTTTCAAAGAATATTAAATCAGAATTTACTTAATATTCTGATGTGTAAATATTTTAGAAAAATTTGTATTTGAATAAACTTATGAAAAAGAGAAAAATTTCTTTAGTATTATTTATTTATTTTTTTTATTTTATTTTTACTTCAATTTTCTCTTTTAATATTTAAATATTATTATACGATATATATTATTTGTTGTTGTTTTTCTAACAAAGTCTCCAAAATAAAAATGAAAATCAAGAGAATGAATATAAAGTTTGTTAGTTCAGTCATAGAATAAGATTCTATGTGTTCCCACATTTAATTCTAAATTCAATAGAAACTATAATTTCTTTTCTTAATTTCGATAAATAAAAACTCTACAAAATATTTAGACTCTACACTTTTTTAAAAACTCTACACATATCTCCAAAAATTATCCAAATCTCTAAATTTTGAGTGTCTGTGTATCTAAACTTTAACGGCGAAACTAAATTATGTGAACTGATTAGCATTTAATTTAAATTTAATTAAAATATTTTAAAAATTTTAAAAATAAATGCAAAATTTAATACATTTTTACATCATTCCACAAGAGAATTTGCCATATATTGAGAATTATCATTTTCATGAAATTCTTGTATTACGATAAAAAAATTTTTTGCCAAGCTACCAACATACTGCGAATTGAGTATATAATTGGAACAAGTCTCCTCCGCGAAATATAAATCAAATGTGATTTTCTTTTATTTCATTGTCACTATTCATCAGAAGTGGTAAATGAAAATTATAACACCAACTACATACAATAAATTATTAAGTAAATCGGTAAAAAAAAAAACCTTCCATTTTCTGTATGTTATAAAATAACGTTTCGTGCATATTTTTAAAATAATCTCATGCATTGAAGTGAATTTTAAATTAAAAAAAAAAAAGACAGAAAAAAATGAAAAATAAATATAATATTTATTTAGAAAAAATAATTTTATTCAAAATTTAATCTTATCCCATTTTGTGTCCTGTATAAAAAAGAGTTACGAGAATATATAAAATTGTCTGAGTATTTTAATATGTATTAAAAATTTACAGAAAAACGTAAAAAGTGCTGTTCTTCTCCTACTTTTAAAATAAACCGTGATCAGCTGATAAAATATGCTGATTTAGAAATTCAGTTGGTTTTTAAAATTAAATAATATACTATATAGTTTATATTTTTCATAAAAATATATGAAAATCATGAATAAATAAATGGTGGAATAAAATTCTTATACAATGTTGGAAATGAATGATTTCATTACCAAAATGCGAAAACTAGAAACACATCAAAAATCGATTGTAAATGAAAGGGGAATAAACTCTTCGACAGGAGAAAATTTACTGGAGCAAGTACATGATCTAATAAGAAAGTTATTCAAGGGTTTTCGCAACTATCTTGAGGAATTAAAATTTTCATTCTGAGACTTCCAGCTTTATCAATAACTTCATATTGGATGTTATAAATAAAATTTTTAAAACCGTTTAATATTAGGTGCATTTTATCACCCCTTTGCAAAAACATTGGTCTTAATCATAGTATTCTACATATAATTGCGCTCTGATTGCATCGTCATAAAATTTTCCACAGACTTGGGAATTTCCATTCATCTAAAGTTCTAATTCTCTGCAATATTCACAACTCCATGTCGAACTATCATAATAATATTTCAAAAAGCAATTCAGAAGCAACAAGAAGTTATTTTTCTCCCATATAGTTTAATTTTTACAACGTCATAATGCACTCTTTAATGATCAAAATATAAATTATTATTATATTTTTTGCAAAATTCTTAATACCATTAAAATTGAATTTCATTTGTTGCACACTCATGATTTTCATTTTATTCATAAAATTTTACATTCCATTTAAAAATCTCAATTCATTCATATTATCCTTTATTTTCCTTCTCTTTTAATTTTATAACTTTCGCATTAAAGGCATAATATAGCAAACCAAGTTCATAGGATAAAAGTATACAAAAAAAACCTTCAAAAATACCTTGCAGATAAAAAGCTCTGCTAACGTCGTTATTCGGATCTTTCCAAAAAAAATTTAGAAGAAAGAAAAAAATTTACTGTTACATGACCTTTATACTATTGCACATCTTTATTCTAATCGTAAAGATTTCAGTAATGCACGTACAATTTAAAAAATAAGTTTGTCATACTCTAAAACCTTTATTGGCAGACATTTCAATTATATTCAATGATTATTCTTTTAAAATAAACTTGAACGATTTATGGTGTACCTAACAAAACTGTTTTCATTGGCGCAAAAACAAAAAATTTCTTTCACATAATAAAACAAAAAAAATAATTTTTTTTTTTTTTGGTTTATGCTGCATAAAATAGAGAGAAGTTCAACGATTTTGTAATTCCATTTACAAATTAAAATTGCAGAAGTGTACCATATTATAATATCATCTCGGGAAAGTTATTGTTGTGTAACTGTTTTGATGATGAAGTTTGCAACACTTACCTAATTGTATACGACGACACTGCTTGCTGCTAAATATCTTTGGTAACAAGGCCACTGCTATCATTTGAGTCTATTAACTATTGGAATTTATCTCATCAACTTTCAAACTACAATTGCTTTTGCGCTCGTGTATGTGCGAGATTGCAATAAAAAAAGTTCATTGAATAAAATTAGTCCGAAATTTTCAAAATTGTGCAGCAGCACTGTTTATCATTTATAGTTACATTATGGTTTATTATGGGACAGGAACCTGTTGAAATCCAGAGAAATTGATACAATGAACATTATTATAGCGCAGAGAAATTCTATTCAAGTCAATATCCTAGGGTTAATCGGAATAATGACAAATTATCTCATTCATTTCTTTTTATTAAAATCACATTTTTTTGAAGTTTTCTATATCTCGTTTCTGCTTAGGACAAAAACTATTCATTTTAAAACAAAAAAATTATAAAAAAAATGAAGCAAAGGAAATATAAAAAATTTAATTTAGTATTTTGTTACAATCATAGCGTGCTATGTATTAGAATGTATAATACTGAACAATTTGTACCAGGAGGTAAAAGTCAATAGAAAGTCGCAATCTATTAGCTTACATAAGAATAGTTTACTTTTTGAACAATGTTATGAAAAAGGACACAATATCTAATAGCTATACAAGAAATACTGATTTATTTAATATTTCGAAATGTTGCACCTATAGAATTACGAGTATTTATAAATTATTGTCGACAATCAAATTGTATAACAATATTTGAATGCACATAATATGAAAAATTAACAGCAAGCTGCTACTTATTTATAATAAGCATTTATCAATACCTTCTCGTCATCGTTTATAAGCATTTAAGTTACTTTTACTATCAGTTTTAAGTACACATGAAATTTGAACAACAATAACACTTGCAATTTATCTATAACCTTATTCCTATATTCGTATTACAAATAATATTAATTGATATGATTTTAAAATATACATCAACTTGCCATCCTAACACAAGCATTACTGAATTGAGTGACAATGTTGTTATAAAGCTTATTGAAAATTCTTAATTAAATGATAGCCAATTCGGGGCGGTCATTTCAATTTTGCTTGTCTAATTTGTCTAAATTAATATTAAGGACTGGATTTATTAAATAATTTAATTGAACAAAGCCATATTTCAA